GGGCGGGGGGGGATGGGGGGATGGGGGGATGTTGGTCTTGGAAGCTAAAGTGGAAGAAAATATTGAGTACCAGTGAGTGCACAATAATATGTGAGGTCCATCTAAAGCAATCCGCTTCAGATAAAAGGAGGTGGAATTGTGAAGCAGATGGTAACTATTCTACTAAGACAGCCAAAACAGTCATTGACATAATTCTTCTCCAAAAATTGAGGTTTTTATATGGTTGTTGCTTCATAGAAGACTTGACACTAAGGCTTTTTAAGGTAGAAGACATGAAATCAGGTTGGAGGATGCGAACTGTCCATTTTGTAATAATGTTGTAGAATCAGTATAACACCTCTTTATTCACTGTACAGTAGTTTGGAAACAGTGGAATAAATTTATAAACCTGCTTGGCCTGCAATGGAGCGTGCCCAGCACTATCCCAAAAGTATTGACCCGGTGGATTCATTTAACAAAAGGAAAATTTCAGCAAACATCATTCTTTTTTTTTTTAATTTGTTTTTTATGGAGTTATATCGAGTTATCAACTAAAATTTGCCACTATATAAAGTTAAATCATGTAGATATTCTAAAAAAAAACTTCTGACTCAAAAGTGTAAGCTGTTGCATTTTCATATCTGAACAGCTATTTGGTATATTTGGATTTGCATTGGTGTCACTTGGAATGGAATAATGGAAAGAGGCTGACCTCTATCAAGACTGTCTTCTTGACCAATTCTGAGAGAGTTGTGATCTTTGCTGTGATAATTTTCAGCTTCAAAGATTCAAAAACCTCACAAATTCTACTCATAGCGTCTGTTGTTTTATTACATGTCAAGCTCACGAACAGATTTTTCCCTCCCATCGAAGTAACACTAAACTGAAAAACACATCACAAAACATACCATAAGTAACATAATTAATTAATCATCTGATATATGTTGCGACAAGTACCCATTTTTTATTATAATTCTACTGGTAGTGAGACATCTCCACTACTTAAAAACTGACTATGTCATGCCAGACTAAAAGCAGAGATCGACTTACTTCATGAACTTGAATGGGACAAGTATTTCTGGCCATCCTGTGATCATAAATTTGGTCATATCTTGTTCTCTTGAATCTTAACAAGACTGGTAGTTCTTGATCAAAGTCATAGCCCAGATCTTCCTTCAATCTATTCGATTCAAGTTCCATTATCGCAGCTTGGAGTCTCCTCTCCTCTCTTGTTTTTGCAAATCTTGGATGTAATCAATAGCATCTTTGATTATAGAAGCCTTGTCCAACGAAATATGTTCAACCCAAAAATGAAAACAACATAAAAAAATTTCAAACCCGAAAACAAAGTGATAAGCATTAGCATTGCTAATTAATAAATGTTGCTTAAAAATAATTTACAATGTGTATGACTTGTATTAATTAGTGGGGTTACTAGAAAGAATATTAAGAATTAAATTTTAAAATCCAACAAAAAAAATAAACTTTAATATTATTGATTAATAAATATTACATCGACGGGTTACCTTGCTGATTTTGGGGACAGCTTCTCTAAGTGCTAAGAGCTTGTCACTGAGCTTCTTCCTCCCGTTCCTCTATGAAACAATAGTTTTAGAGATCATTGTTGAAGTTGTTCCATCCGGCGAGCATGAATCATTGGACCCGGGATTAAATTGCTGATTCGTTGCCCAACTGTGTCTCGTTAAAATAATTTTTTCAGTTGAAAACTTTGGACATGGATGAACAAAACAAATTATATAATAAACAAAAGTTTTGTCATCGAAGGCAAATATGTAAGAAGGGATCCCTAAAATTAAGCTCTTCATTCCAAAACCAGTTAGTTTCCCAGAAATTTTGGCACTCTCCAATATGTTCAATAATTTCCATGGATTGGGGCTGTGTGACAGACAGGGAGAGAGAAAACTCGAATGATTATTGTTTGAGATGAAGTGGGTTTTGTCTTCTGGACGATGCAGATGTTGTTGGATTTTATGCAGAAGAGTGAAGAGTCGCTGTCAAACGGCTTTTGAAATAGACGATGAATAGTTCGTTTACTGTATTGAAGCCCGCGCTACTAATGTATATCTGTATTATTTTTTTAATAAAATATTTATGCGCTGTAAACATATTTTTTTATATAAACAAATTCAATAATTTTAGTTACAATTCCAATTAATTAAAAAATTAAACTGATTTTATTTAAATTATATTAAAAAATAGCAAACAATAATATATAAATATATATAAAATAAAAAAATAATATATAAGATTACACATATTAAAATATAATAAAAAATAAATATTTAATCAATATAAATATATAAAAAATTTATAGATAAATCACATTAACCTCTTAAGAAATTAAACATGCCCAATATAATTAAAAAAGTATATTTAAAAAATCATAAAAATAACAAAGAAGATGTATTAATTAACGCATAAATTTAAAAATTATTTTATAAAAGACATAAAAAATGAAAATTTAAGAAAGAAAGGAAAAAAATGAGAATTAAAAAAATACAATACACTATTAACATGGATTGAATTATGACATTGAAAATAAAAAATTATAAAAATAAGAATTAAAATCATTAAAAAATGAAAAAGGCATTAATAAAAAAATGAAAATTTAACAACTAAAAAGGAAAGAAAAAAATCAAAATAAAAAAAAAACAATACACTATCAACATGAATTAAAAAGTGAAATTAAAAGTTATAAGAATAAAAATCAAATTGAAAATACCAATACATGATAATATGTAAAACTTTTCAATATGTTATTTTGTGAAAAAAATCATGAAAATAAATCGAAAAACTTATATACCCATCTAATTAAATAAATTACAATCTAATTAAATAAATTACAAATGATTGTGAAAAAAAAGAGAGTCATTAAAGATAAACAAAAACATAATTGAAAAAATTAAAAGACAAACATAAATTAAGATATTTAATATCACAATATGAGTTATTTATTTGATGATGTTCAATAAACTTGTTTATGAAAATGATATTTAATATCACAATATGAGTCATTTATTTGATGATATTCAATAAACTTGTTTATGAAAATCAATTTATAACAAAAATTAATATATACATAAAGCTTATTAAAGAAGATAAAATGAAAAAATATTTTGCAATGTTGCACATACTAAATATTATACAAAATAAATATTTAATATATAAAAAATATATAAAAAATTATAAATAAATCATTCTAACCTTTAGCAACCCCAAATTTCAAACAATATCATATTTTGATTAATCGGGAAATTGTATATATGATATTAGTTAATATTCAACTACAAATATGTTAATTTTAGCTTTGATAAATATAGTTAATATTTGATTACAAATATGTTTAATTTTGATTTTAGTAAATATTACATAACCCAAAAAATATGATATTTTTAATTTTATTACTACTGAATAAATCAATAAAATTTAAATTAAAAAACTATATTTTTTAAAGGCAGAAATATATTAGATTTGCATTTTATAGTATAAGTATGTAAATCAAATATACAGGAAAGTGAATAAAAATAATGTGAGGAACCCTAAATAAATAAATAAAAAATCTTGAAATTTTTTCAGAATTTTTATATATCTAAAAAGGTTTGTTTAACTAAATTTCAAAATAAAAAAACTTGAAGTAAAGGGAAAAGAGCATAAACATGTGTTTTGCCATACACACAGTTAACCTAAAGGAGATTGGACCGGCTGAGCCTGAGGTCCAGGCCCGGCCCGGTTTCAGCCGTTTTCTTTTTTTAAATTAGGCTGGAACTAGTTTGAAAATATGGGCTGGGCTTGATACAGCATGCTCAGCCTGGTTACTGGCCCAAGGCAGTAACCCGCCTGGTTCTACAGTCAGCAGGTAATTAAATGTAAAGCGGGGGAAACAAAGTCGACTTACCTGGTGCTTGCGTTCTGGACGAAGACCCTGCTGGTGCTCGTTGCTGGAATTCTGGGAAGAAGCTGGGATTCCACTCTCTTCTTTTGGCTTCCCCTCTACTCTGTTGTCTGTTCTTTTTTTCTGGTTTTTTTAGGTTAATTCTCTCTCTCTTTTCTGGCTTTTGCTTCTTTTCTTCTTCTTTTTCCCTCTCTCTCTGTCTTTTTATAGGCTTTCTTGCGGGAATTTTGATCCTTATCTTCCCAGGATAATGATCTTCGTGTGGAGATAAGTCTGGGACTTTGTGTTTTGGTTGGGTTGGGACACCAACAGTGGTTTCCTCGCCTTGTTGGCACCTCGTGGCGGTGGAGGAAGGTCGGGCGGGCAGGGGACAGATGGTAGACCATTCAGTCTACATCCAGGTCTGGTCTGAAGGTGGTGAGACCTGCCCAGCGACTGTTTGGTTTTTGCAGGCGGGCTTTCTCTATTTCAGACAAATAAGAAGATGAACAGTGACCTTGAACTGGGTCGTTTTGGGATGGGAACGGTCGTCTTTCAGTTTGGTCATTGAATTTTGGATATTTTGCAATCAAGCCCCTTATTCATGGAAATTTCATTTTTCTAAAATTTCGCCCTGAATCAATTGCCATTGACCTTTGAGTTTCAGCACCATTTACAAAACGGTTCTTAGTTTTCAATTTATGTTATCTTGAACTAAATTTTGAATTCATTTTTTTTCTCTTTTTTTTCTTGACCAATATATAATGTCAAAAAATAGGTTATAATACTTACCCTA